ATTACACGTTATTTACCAGAACATGCTATTAAATTCTTAATTTCTATTGCACAACAAATTACTACATTTTCTGAACCATTTATAATGGTTGTTCTTAAATTTATTCGTTTAATTTATAAATCAACACCTCAATTCAAAAGTAAATACATTGAGATTTTAGGATGTCTTATTTCATCAAATTCATTAATGGTTAAATTAGAAGTTGCATCAATATTCCCTTTGATTACAGGTAATGCTCATGTTGTTACTCAAAGTATACAAACACTAGTTGATGTTGTTTGTTCTTCATCTGATGTTAATGTCAAAATAATTGGTATCCAAAGAATTAAAATGATTTGTTCAAGATATCCAAAAGTTATCAAAGGAAGTTGTATTTCATCATTACTAAGAATGCTTTCAATCCCTTCTATAAGAAAAGATGTTCTTCAACTTGTAATGACATCACTAGCACCACGAAATGCTGGTGAAATAGTCACTGCTCTTAGAAAAGAAATAGGAAAAGATGATACTGGATTTGTTGTTGAGGTGTTGGTTGCACTTCGTAAATGTAAAGAAGTTAATGAAGGAGTTGAAATCGATGATGTCATGTTTGAAGCTTTAACTACACCAGAATTAGCGAAAGAAGCTATTGAGTATATTGAATATCGTCTTCAAGGAGAACAAAGAGAAAATACGGTTGCAAGACTCATCGACTTTATTGAAGAAGTTAGTGACAATAAAACATTAAGAAGTATTATTTGGATGATATGTGAATATTGTAGTCATTACGATGAGGTTATTAGTATGTTCAAGAGGTTGATTGTTGAATTACCAAATAAAGAAGAAACATTTATAGAAAAAGATATTGAAGAGAAAGAAACCGAAGAAGAAAAGAAGGACAATGGAATTATTGAAAGTAAGACTGTTGTATTAGCTGATGGTACATATGGAAGTGTTATAGAAACATTTGACAAACAAACTGAAAAGAATAAATTCTTCCAAAAAGTTGGATTAAGAACAATGATTGAACAAATGGATTCATTGGTTATTTCTAGTTTAGCTATTGGTATTGCAAAGATTTGTAGCAAAGTTACAGGTAAAGAAGGAAATTGTATTAGAGCAAAAGGAATTCAAATATTACTTGA